TTTGCCATGGCCTTCCTCTGAGGCTGAGAGAGAGTGACTTGCCCAAGGCCGCCCAGTGGGTTTCCGTGGCCGAGCCGGGATTCGAACCCTGGTCTCCAGAGTCCTTGTCCAACACTCAGATCACTACGCCACGCTGTCTCTGAATTATTACTATAGGAAATGTCATTAAGGTAATCATTACTGGGTAATATTTGGGCTGGCCCCTTCCCTCTGGCCTCAAAGTAAGGCTGGAGGCCGCCTCTCTCTTTCCAAAGGAGGACTTGTTTTCCTCGAGGGGGCGAACCTTGTCAAATCCGAAGACTCTGGGAGCGTTTTTGCTCTTTGGAGAACCTGGATCCCCTTTTCCTCCCCTCCAGAAAGGAGGCTCTGCATAGGTAGATCTGGTGCAGAGGGATCCAGTCTTCCTGGTTAGGGGAACTCCTAAGGGTTCACACTTTCTCTTAGTTCCCTGTAATGCCTGGCAAACCACCACAAGGCCCATCCCCAGCAAGGAGGCCAAGGCAGGTCTGTCAAGCTAAGCCATCTGCCTGTAGGCATCAGGAAACTCCAAAGCACCCCAGGATGAGGGTCTCCAGAGTAGGAGATGCAAGGAACCCATTTTAGCACAAGAGGAAAGAACAGAAGTGTGATGGCAGCAGCAACCACAACAATCACAAATGACAGTGTAAATAACATATACAAGGGTAGCTCTATTGGCTATGTAGCAAATACAATAACATCCAAAATCCACCAAATTTTGTTTTGTTTATTTGTAAATAATTTATTTATTTGCAAATAAATCAGTTTTGCAGCAACAGCAACAAATATGTACTCCATGGGAATTTGATAAAAAGACTAGATCTGAGCTTCTGGTAAATAAACAGGATACATAAGTAGGTAAAAAGAAATTGACTTTATTGTTACATCTAGGTTGTACAAAAATAACTAATCAGTAGAGAAAACTATACTCTGATACAGAGTCCCTAGTTACCTGACCTCCATGTGTGCAAGTCAAGTCAGAAGAAAAGCATCTTTGGGAGCATAGCATGGTTTCTGCACCCATGCTTGTTAAGAGCAGAGAAGAAAAATGTGCTAGCAAACCAAGAATCATAAAACTTTATTACCCACAGGAAAAGGAGGGCTATAGAAAGTGAGTTCTTGACAAGGAACACTGACCAAATGACCATAGAGATAGATCAGTGTT